TTTTTTTTTTGAGATAGGGTCTCATGTAGCACAGGCTGGCCTTGTGAACACCTGACGCTTTTGCGTTCACCTCCCTTTTGCTAGGATCCCAGGTGTGTACCAGGCTTCCTGTCGGGAAATACTGACGTTTACATACTGTCCCCCAATTCTGAAGTGCTGATAATCCTTCTGGTATGGCAACTCCACGGCACTACGGTGGGGAGAAATCAAATATGCCCCTGGGTCAGAGGTGGGCTGCCAACTTGAAAACTCTGCCAGGATATGATGGTGACATCCAGCCCCAACCATCCTCCAGATATGGTCAATCCACAACCTCCTGTAAGGCTGGTCTTATAGACCATTGCATAGCTGTGGCAACTAAGGCAGGGAGGGCGCAAGGAGCTGGCCCCAGGCAGAGTGGGGGCTCCAGAGTCTTCACTGAACAGTTCCATGTCCCAGCTCTGCTCATTTCTCAATTATAGTTTGCCTCAGTCCTCACTGTATCCCAAGCATCAACGTCCCCTCTCCCTGCTCTGTGTGTGTATATGCACACATGCACACATAGACATGTGAGCATATATATGCACACACATATGTACTACATGTGCCAGAGAAGGCTGAAAACCAACCTCTGGTGTCATTTCTCAGACTCTGGCCTGGCACTTACCAAGTAAGCTAGGCTGGATGGCCAATAAGCCCCAGGGATCTTCCCACCTTGGCCTCCCAGCACTAGGATGACAAGTGTACACTCCTCTGCCTAGACTTTAAGTATAGGTTCCGGAGCTCAAACTAAGGTCCCTGTGCTTATGAAGCAAGCACTGTACCAAATGAGACATCCCCAACTCCCAGGCATCTGTTCTTAATGTGTTTCATGGATAGAAGGCTGAGGCTCTAAACGTTCAGCTAACAAGCCTGGGGTCACACAGTCGGTCTGGGCTGAACCCTGCTGCCACCACGGCCTGACTTGTCTAAGTCGGAATTCTCTCTTGAGAAGGAAAAAGAACAAAAGGAAAAAAAGACCAAACAAAAGCAGCCTGTAGGAAAGGTCTGCCCTCAGCTGCCATAGGATCTGTGCTTGGGGTGTGTGTAGGGGGAGGGCAGAGAGGGGTCTTGCCTAGGTCTTTCTTATCTATCAGTGTAAAAAGAATCCATAGTGAAAACAATGTTGTTGAAACAAAGACCTGTATAGACTTCACCATCAGGTTGGAGGGGTGAAGGTGGGGGTGCATGCTCTCCAGCAGGGGTAAGGGTGGCCCTTCACAGAAAAGGACACAGAGCCCAGCCAGGGAGTCCAGGGTATCATCCAGGAGCACAGATCATGGTCCTGTGAGGTGTTGGGGGCCTCAAAGCAGCTCATAAGGTTTACCTCCACTGGAAGCTGACCCATGCTATGTCATTTCCGGTATCAGACACTCTGCTAACTACACCTATGATTTCACAGAATCCTTACCTGACTCCTGTAAGACAGGAACTACACATTCCATGTAGTGTAGATAGGAAATGGAGGCACAGAGAATTGAAGAGATTGACCAAAGACTAACTAAACAGGTCAGAATAGGAGAGCTAAGACTTAAGTGTTCCCTTGGCCAGAGTGACACTGCTGGCTTCTGATAGGATATCCCCAGGGTCAGTGGTGAGTTGAGCTTTCACTGACTACTCAATTGCTGAAACATATTTGCTGCAGACAGCCAAGGAATTGGTACATACACCAGGTGAGGAGTAAGTGATAATGCTTCACCTGGGTGTGGCACTTTAAAAGCTGTGTGGTCCCTAGTCAAAGGCCCTGCCAGGCTCTGCAGTCCCTAAGCCCAGCCTCAAGGATCTGCCTGCAGCCCTATACACATTGTTCCCAGACCTACAAACTTCTTCCCCCTCTGAGAGCCTGCTGAGAGCTTCCTCTTTGAAGCTCTGGCAATCTGGCTTCTACCCCCATGCTCACCCAGCCAGGGGTAGCTTTTCACAGGCCCTTCTGGTCTTTACTAACTCTTGTCCAGACCTCTGTTTTGGCACTTATTTGGGGTGTAATTACATGTTCACAGATCTGTTTCCCATAATGAGCTCATCTGAGCCCCAACACGCATTAAACAAAACCAGACAGCAGCTCTCAGACTGACAAACCACTAGGAAAGGAGGCCCAAGCGCATAGGGTATTGAACCCTTCTACCTAGTGCTGACAAGCCAGCTGGCACCGTGACGATCTGCTCGGCCCTTGCAGAAATTCCTGCATGCAAAGCTAGAAATCCTGGTGATATTTTAACCCTTACAATCCATCTGTGGTAATGATTCTGGAGGACCCACTTAGGGAAACAGGGAAGATTTTTTTTTTTGTCCAGACTCACTCTGCATTCTGATAGCAAAAGCAGAAAGATGTCCAAACCACTAGAGCATCAATAGCACCGGCTAGTTGACCATATAGTTCAGGGCCCTCGGTTTTATACTATGATTTCATTCTTACACTCAGCCTGGTGTCATAGTGGCACACTGACCTGGAGAAGACAAATCTCAGAGACCATGACAATACTAACAGCTGTAACAGCCTTCTTTCCTTGACAATGGACAGAGACCCCGACAGGCCTATGACCTGTTCACAACTATGCTCCTGTCAATCGCACACATGCCCTCCTGGATCTAGAGACTATGCTTCTGCAGCTGATGGTAGAAGAGGGCTGGGATCCAGGCAGTTCTGTTCTGAGAGCACTGGGTGGCCCACTAGTTGCTGTCCTTTGAGTTATAGGCTGTGAACTTCCTCCAGGTCCCCTCAAAATATTCTGAAGCCTTATCTCCAGAGCTATGAATGTGGCCTCTGGAGGAATAATGGTCTTTGTAATTATATCAGTTACTTTTCTTTTCTGGTTTCTGAGATCTCCAGAAACTCAGGGGAGGAAGCTGAAAGAGATACGATCATGGTGGGGGATTGTGACAACAGGTGTTTAAAGAAACAACAGGTCACATTGCATCCACAGCCAGGAAGCAGAGATCCCCCCACCCCATTAACTCACTTTTCCCTTTTTATGAAGTCTGGGACAACATCCCATGAAATGGTGGCTCTTACATTTACATGAAATGGTGGCTCTTACATGAGGGTTGTCTTACCTCAATGCACATAATCTAGAATATCACCCCATTAACTCACTTTTTCCTTTTTATGAAGTCTGGGACAACATCCCATGAAATGATGGCTCTTACATGAGGGTTGTCTTACCTCAATGCACATAATCTAGAATATCTCAAGACACACTGGGGGTTGTTTCCATGGTGAATCTGAATCTGGCCAGGATGACTATTTTAACCATCACAGCATATGATAAGGATAACATGGGGTAACCACAATGGGCCCTCATCCTATATAACTCATGTCCTTATGAGGAAGGGAATCTGGACACTGAGAATGCCTATGGAGCTAAGACAATGTGAAGACATGGGGGAACACTGTTCCTGAGCTTAAGAATTCTTGAATGGTCATAGGCTAGGAGAAAGGACTTGGAAAGAACTTCACCAACAACCCTCAGATAGAAACTTCCTGCCTCAATTTTGGATTTCTAAGGTCTGAGAGAATCAGTGTCTATCACATAAGCCACCCAGTTCATCTCTTTGCCATGGTAACCCCAAGAAGCTCGTACAGGCCTTTAGCAGCATTTTGGCTGGTGGAATGACTAGGTAGAAACAGAGACCATGTGACAGTGCCGGATGTGTTTCTAATGCTAAAGGGACCGCAGAGGTGGACAGAGGACCAACAGAGGCTCACCAGCGGAACTTGCCATTTCCCCTCCCTAGTCTACATTCTCTCAGCTTTATTCACCAAAAATAATCATGCGCATACATTTTATACAATTGTCTTTAAGATAGATTTGAACTGCAGACAGTTGGAAGTATGCAAGACTGTAGGCTGAATTGCACTCCCTCACGTCCCGTACTGAAGAACTCTAACCACTGTTACGTCTAAATGTGATTCTATTTGCAGCCAGGAATTTAAAGAGGTAATTACATTTAAAACTGGAGCTGTTGGGGGTGGACTTATTCCAATATGACAGATGCCCTTAATTTTTTAATTAATAAGCATGTGTGTGTGTGTGTGTGTGTGTGTGTGTGTGTGTGTGTATGTGTGCCACAGCACATGTATGGAGTTCAGAGAACAACTTCCAGGAGTCAGTTCTTTCCTTAATTTTTTAATTAATAAGCGTGTGTGTGTGTGTGTGTGTGTGTGTGTGTGTGTGTGTGTCACAGCACATGTATGGAGTTCAGAGAACAACTTCCAGGAGTCAGTCTACCACATGAATCTTAAGGACTGAACTCCTGTTGTCAGGCTTGGTGGCAAGTGCCTTTATGCACTGTAGTGGTTATAATGAGAATGTCTCCCATAAGCTCATGTTGAACACTTGATTCCCCACTTGGTGGCGCTGTTTCAGGAGGTTATGGGAGATGCAGCCTTGCTACAGGCAGAATGCCACTGGAGGCAGACTTGGAGAATTTACAACCGTGCCCCTCTTCCAGTTTGTTCTGTCTGCTTGATGTTTGAATTTGAAGATGTGATCTCTCTGCTTCCTGCTCCTGTCTCCACTCTTCAGTGCCTGCCGCTCAGGGCCACACCTCCCCCACTATGATGCACTTTTATTCATCTGGAACCATAAGCCAAAACAAACTCTTCCATTAATTTTCTCACAGCAACAGAAAAGTACCTAACACACCCACTGAGCCACCTCACTGGTCCAGGTATTCTTAAAAGAAGAAGTAATTAGGACCAGAGAGATGCCACCAGATGTATGCATGCACAAAGTGCATTGCTGACTATACAGGAAGGCAGCCATTTGTGCTTGATCTTGGTCCTCCAGTCTCTAGAACAGCGATAAAGAAAATTTCTGCCATCAAAGCCACATGGTTTGTGGTATTCTGCTACAGCAACTTGGCAAACTACTAAAAGGAGCCAGAGGAAGGTGCTTATTTGCACAGCCCCCAACTCTGCATTCTAGAACTGAGACACAGGAAGGCTGTGATCAGAGGTAAGGCTCAGCCTCACCACTCACCCAGGCAGTTGTGTCCATCATGAGCCAGCATGAAGCCATCAAAGCAGGTGCACCTGTAGTTCCCAGGGATGTTAATGCAGTCATGGACGCAGCCCCCGTTGTAGTAGTCATTTTCACACTCGTCGATGTCTGCAAAGGCAGAGACATGAGAAGTATCAGAACAAGTGACTTGGGTTCAGCTTCCACCACTGCAAGCTGCTATGATATGACTTATTAGGGGATGTGACAGCTTTAATTGTCAACTTGACACAACCTGGGATCACCTGGAAGAGTTTCAGTGAGGGGCTGTCTGCATTGGGTTCACTTATGGGCATGTCTGTGGGGCATTCATTGTCTTAAGGACATTAACTGATATGAGAAGACCCAGCCCACTGCAGGCGGCATCATTCCCTAGGCAGGAGTTTCTGAGCTGGACAAGAGTGGAGAAATCAAGCAGAGAGTGCAGGCAAGCAAGCCTTGTGCACTCATTTCTCCCTGCTTTTGTCTACAGGTGTGATATGACCAACGACTTGAAATTCCTGCCTTGACTTCCCTATTGAAAGGTCAGGCATTAATGCTGACCTGCTTGTATCTCTTTAAGAGACAGACCCCACCCCCTGAAAATGGGTGGGGCATGCACATCGACATGCCACATCACTCATTATGCATTACAGACCTGCATGAGGACTCTGCACATGTGTGAAGCCTCAGTGCGCATACTCAGCTTTCCCTTTAAAGCTATGTACCTTATGTACCTCTCTCTCTCTCTCTCTCTCTCTCTCTCTCTCTCTCTCTCTCTCTCCCTCTCTCCCCCCCTCCCCCTCCCCCTCCCTCCCCTGAGGTGGACCACTAATTTTCTCTTCTCTCTCTGTTTCTGGTGGTTGACCACTAATTCTCTCTTCTCTCTCTGTTTCTGGTGGTCGACCACTAGTTCTTCTCTCTTACTCTCTGCCCTGCTCTGTTCTTCCATTTCTCTCTCTCCCCCTCTGGTTCTCCCACCCTGTAATAAACCTTATGTTTGATGTACCCTCCACAGTTCATGTTCCATCTCCATCTCTCGACTTCTAATTTAAGCAAAATAACAATACCTATGATGATGAACCACAGCCTGGACTTGTAAGCAGGAATAACACCCTTTTCCCCTCTAGTTGCTTTCTGTCAGGGTATTATTTTTTTAAATCACAACACCAGAAATGAAATTAGAACAGGGGATAGATAATAACTCAGCAGATACTCAATAATGTTTATTGGACTGAAGAAGTATTTGAAAAAAAAAAAACTTGGCTCAGAAGAAAGGCTGACCACCAGTTTTCAGAAAAGAGTCACATTGTGGTGTGTGTGTGTGTGTGTGTGTGTGTGTGTGTGTGTGTGTGTGTGTGTATTGACTTCCAACTCCTGCCACAGTGAAGCAGGTCATCATCAAGCCTGGCTCTGGCTCCTTCTAAAGCCTGCTGACATTGCCATCATATGGGTGCTTCCACATCCATGGAAACTGGCTCCTTTGAAACGGGCAGACCCAGTAAAATAAACTGTGCACATCACCAAAAAGTGTCATCTCTGGGATGAAAGAATGTCCACTGCCCCCCACCCCCACCCCACCCCATTAGCTGCCTCCCTATGGGCTGAGGCCTGGCCTTCAGCTGCTCCAGCTCCCTTGTTATAACAAAGACTTCTGTCTCATAAACAATGGTCAATAGCTTTAGTAAAGGTCACTCTGCTGTTATAAGTCTTTTTTTCAACATTTCCCAGCAGGGGTCAAAGGGCTATCAGTTCTGGGGTTCCAGAAAGAAGAATAAGAAACATGTAGCTAGCATTCAATGAACCACTTCTACACCCAAGGGGTTGGCCACACTGTATGCCATTATCTCTAAAGTCCTCATAGGGACTGTGGTAGACAGTTTTATGTCAACTCAACAAAAGCTGAAGTCATCTGAGAGGAGGGGACCACAATTAAGAAAATGCCTCCATAATATCTAACTGTAGGGCATTTTCTTAGTGATTGGACCTGTCACTAATTCAGACCATTGTGGGTGGTGTCTTCCCTGGGCTGGTGGTCCTGGCTCTATAAGAAAGTGGGTTGAGCAACCCATAAAGAACAAGCCATTAAGCAGCTCCCTTCCATGGCGTCTGCATCAGCTCCTATCTCCAAGTTCTCACCCTGTTTGAGGTCCTGTCCTGACTTCCATCAGTGATAGTGATAGACTTCGAATACAGAAGTGTTTCCTCCCCAATTTGCTTTTGGTTACCATGTTTGTCACAGTAATAGTAACCCTAATGAAGATAGGAACTCAGGCCCAGTGGTCTGCTTGCACGGGGCACTGAAGGAACCTTGCATGGGTAGGCTAAAACCTTGCCAAAGCCCACACACCTAGAAGGGATGCAAGCAGGCTTCTTAGTAGTGACACCTGACTCTGGGTTCCCAGGGAACCTAAGCCCAGACTTTCCTCTCTAGGATGCTTCCAGAATGACCCTACCAGCTGTGGTCTAGGGACCTGGTGCTTCTGTTAGGTCTTGGGCCACCCCACTTCTAAATATTCCCTGGGCTCAATGCCTCCCACTTACATTGAGTCCAGCCTTCAGGGACTCTAGGATGGCCTTTGTAGCGTGGGAGCGTGTCATAGGTAAACTCAAAGTGATTCTCAGGACCCAGAAGAAGCATGTCTGAGACAGAAGAAACATTTCTTCCCTTATCTGCCAGGAGTGGGAGTTTGAGGTGAAGTTCTAGCAGAAGATGGGAAGAGCCTAACCCAAAGCCTGGAATGTGGCAGGAAAACCATGAAGATCCAAACTCTCATTAGCTGGGGTGCAGCAGAACTATGGCATAGCCATTTGATGCTTAGTATAGGGATACTAGTCTGGAGATCCAGGGGCTTACTCCTTCACTCCTGATTCTTCTAGGAAGTGATTAAGCATAGCACAGACACCCCAAAGAATGAAGGCAATAATAACCTGAGAAAAGAGCATATTGCAACAAGCCCATCCTCGTACCCAGCCAGCCAGCTAGAAGGAGGGAAGGACAAAGCAGGGATTCCCAAAGGTTTCAGAGTCAAGATGGCCTGCCTTAGTGTGTGTAGCCACCACTTGTGTCAGGTGGGGAGCAGAAATGAGTCTGCAGCATGTCTAAATCATCTTTAAATATACCTAGTAGTCTAAATGATATTAAAGGAAGATGTAAGACCTTAGGTTTATGGGGAAGGAGTAGGGAGTTATAGCTACTGAGGGATACCCACTGCCTCCAGGTTCTGCTTGAAGCCCTGAACCTGCACACATTACTCTAAACATGTCTCCTAGGTCTTGGACATACACACCTCAGACAATGCATCCCAGCTTTAACTCACCAAGCTACACAGCTCTGGAGTACCCCCATCACAGGCCATATTGTTTTTTCCTTCCACATCTCAGATACCAAGAATGGCTTTTCCTTCTCTCTCTCTCTCTCTCTCTCTCTCTCTCTCTCTCTCTCTCTCTCTCTCTCTCTCTCTCTCTCTCTCTCTCTCTCTCTCTCTCTCTCTCTCTCTCTCTCTCTCTCTTTCTGTGTGTGTGTGTGTTGCATGTATGTGTCTAAGCAGGTGTGTGAGTGAACGGTAGACGACAAAGGTCAATGTCTGCTCTTCCTCTGTTGCTCTTCATCTTATTTTTTGAGACATGGCTCTCAGTGAAGCCAAAGCTCACTGATTTGGACAGCTAGGCTGGCTCCCCAATCAGCTGCAAGGATGCACTTATCTCTACCCCCTCCCTGTTCCCCCACCATTACCCTATATGAGTCACAGGTCCACCTGGCTTTTTTTTTTTTTACCTAAATGTTGTGGAATATTTAACTAAGTAAAGACATGTTTCATTTGTTTATGTTGTGGAATATTACTTTAACTGTGTAAAGGTGTGTTACATTTGTTTCTGTTGCCTTTGTTAACAATGTAAAGATGTGTTACATTTGTTTATGCTGCATTTGTTTAGTTATATAAAGATGTATTGCATTTGTTTCACCTTGCCTGCCTGAGGCACCTGATCAGACTAATTAAGAGCTGAACAGCCAATAGCTAGGAGGAGAAAGCTAGGCTTGAAAAAGACTGAAAGAGGAGAGAACAAGGGGGAAAGAGAGGGACACACCTGGGGCCAGCCAGGCAGCTGCCAGCCAGACATGAGAAGTGAAAATAAGATATACAGAAGGAAAGAAAAGGTAAAAAGCCCCAAGGCAAAAGGTAGGTAAAAAGAAACAGGTTTATTTAAGTTAAAGGTGCTAGTCAGAAATGAGCCTAAGCTAGGCAGAGCATTCAAAACTAATAAGATTCTGTGTCATGATTTGGGAGCTGGTTGGTGGCCCAAAAGAAAAAGCCTGTTAGGCCTAACTGTGCTTTTTCTATATCTTTAACACAGCAACAACTTCCTTCCACTGCCTGCTAGCATGAGCATCACCTCTCACCAAATGACCCAGAATCCCCCAAGCTCTTCCTTCCCTTCTTGCTTCCCTCTCTCAAGCTGATGTCTGGCCTGATCCCAGCAGCCCGTGTCACTTGCAATGGCTGTTGGTCCCATGGTGGGTAGAAGACTTAGAGTGGATAAGTCAGACTAAAAGACTTTTGTGTCATGTTTGTGTAAAATAATCTCTCTCATGCTGCACCTCCAAGGGCAGTAAGTCGGCCCTCCTCCTGAAGCACGGGCCCTGCCAGTCCTCCATGCAGTTCTCTGGGAAGCTGTTTTTTAAGGCTGATCGAACTGAAGTTCAGAGAGGTTAGAGAACTGCTCAAGGTCACATAGCAGGTGACAGGACAAGTATCAGAACTCTCAGTCTACAAAGCTTACATCTGTTCTAAGCCACACTGTCTAGCACAGGCCAAGGCATGGGTAAAATACTCCAGACAAACATTTGATCCTTAGCTCATTTCTATGGTGCCCTGTGAAAGTGCTCCCTAGCCATCGAAGTGCTGTCCACGCCTCTGCCCTCCCCCCGTTCCTCCTCCATCTATACTCGTGTGCATGCTGTTCCATCTGCTCAGCCATACACCCATTCATCCAAAACCCACCTTCCTCCTGCTATCAATCTATTTATACACTATATGGCATAGTTACTCAAATTCCCATCCAGCCCTTCTCCCATTTATCCATTTATGCTAAAACATACCATAATATGCAACTTGGTTGATTGTCTATTC